GACTTCTAGGATTTTCTGAAGTGTCTTCATTCTTCATGTGCCCCTAGTGGATTGTTATGGAAGTAACTGATGAAGATAGTGGTTAGATTCTTGGGCACTACTAGCTGGTAATTTGTACCCGCAGCAAAGGGCGACACTCTGTACAACACCCTTGCTGGACTTCCCACCTAATGCGGTTGATGTAATCCATGATTTCAAGCCCCCCCTTTAACTCATTGACCTCAACATCCTCACTCTGGGCTTTTAATATTTCTGCCATGGTTGATTGGATATCCAAATTCCAATGGGAGGATTTCTCATCAACATACACAGCTAAGGGAACGTGGCAATGCTGAGCTCTCGACATGGCATCGGGCACTACATTCACCCGTTTCTTCCTGTATTGTACCTGGAAGTGAAACCGCTGGAGCCTTAAGGTCCATCTCGTCAACTGAGAGATAGTTTTGGGTGAGTTAAAGGCCCAGGTCAAGGGAGCATGGTCCGTATACACCATGAATGGTACTCCCTCCAGTTAGTGGTGCCACTTTTCGACAGCCCACACCACGGCAAGGCACTCTTTTTTTGAGGTTGAATAATTCACCTCTGCTACCCTCAAATCTCTCGAGGCATATGCAATCACCTTTTCTTCTCTACTGATGTTCTGGGTTAGAACTGCTCCCAGGCCAACTGAGCTAGCATCCGTCTGGACCTGGAAGGATTGCGACAGATCAGGTTGAACTCGTACAGGGGCATGTTGCAGGGCATGTTTGAGACTCTCAAAGCTCAACTGGGTTTCTTTGGTCCATGTCCATTTCACCCCTTTCCTCTTAACATGGTTCAATTGGGCAGCCAGTTCAGCAAAGTGGGGAATAAACTTGTGGTACCACCCAACCAACCCCAAGAACCTCTGAACTTCCAACAAGTTTTGTGGGGTTGGGTACTCACTGATGGCGGTGATCTTGTTCGAGTCGACTTTTACTCCCTCCACGGACACAACATGCTTTCATGAAGTGACATTTCCTTAGGTTTAGGGTAAGATTAGCCTCTTTCAGCTTCTGAAAGACAGTTTCAAGATCTTTTAAGTATTGTTGGCTGCTTAGGGATTAGATAATAATGTAATCTATGTAGACAAAACACACACTTCCTCTTTGGCTTACCCAACACTTTCTCCATCAACCTCTGGAACGTGGCCTCAGCATTTTTTAGCCCAAAGGGCATGGTCAAGAAATGAAATAATCCAAAAGTGGTTGTAAAGTCTGTCTTTTCCCTGCTGCTTTCTTCCATTTCGCCCTGCCAGTATCCAGATGTTAAGTCGAGGGTACTGAAATAATGGGCACCTTGCAACGACTCCGGTATATCGTGGATGAGAGGCATCGGGTAGGCATCTTGGGAAGTTTTGGAATTAAGTTGGTGATAATCCACGCAGAACCTTAGACTGCCATCTGTCTTTGGGAACAATACTACTGGAGATACCCAAGGTGATTGAGACGGCTCAATGATGCCTTCTTGCATCATCTTATCGATCTCCCTTTCCATCACCTCTTTCTTTAAGGGAGAAACTCTATAGGCTTTCGACCGAACTGGCATGTCATCCATTGTTACAATCCGATGGGTAGCTTGATTGGTTCTCCCTAGAGTTCCAGAACAGACAGTTGCCCATTTATTTAGGAAGGGTTGGACTTCCAGCGGATGACTTGCTATAATGTCTTTTCTGCTAGTGGCTATTACATTGGCTGTCTCCAGCTCTCCACCCTTCTCCACTGGCACAGCCATGAACAAAGCGGTAACCATTTCCCTCTTCAGAATGTACTGCTGCTCCCACTGTGGTTGCTGGAGAAAAGGGTAGACTCAAACTTGCCCTTTGACCTTGAGCTCATAGCTCATAAAAATAATGTTATTAACCGGTATTTCTTCTACCCGTACCGGTTTCGGAACGGTAATAATACAGAGGAACGTAGGAACAGAAATGTTAAAATATTTATTCTGCTCGGAGTGCGTTCTGGGAAAAATGTGTATAGATATGACCCTCTGTTATTGATTGCGTGCTAATGATTGTTCTTATTATTCAGTATTTTTGTTGTATGTGATTGATCTGGAGTAGCAATTTGACAATTTCATGTTAAATAAGTAAATGAAAGATTCCTCTGATCTGTCACATATTAGGGGTTAAACGGATCGCAGTTGATCAGTGATACATACAGACAAGACCCTATACTCTTCGGCACGCACGTGATTTGCAGATTAATTTGCCAATTTACACCCAGCAAGCTATAGCCATCATTCACCGTCTCGTTTAACTATAGACCCGATATAGTCCGGCTATGTGTAACCCACATCTAGCCCAAATAACCTTGAATTTGGTTTCATGTCGTTTTTTGGCAAAATAACTTGTGAGGTGTATGATATTCCATCATGTAAGCAAAGTAACAGCATTTACAAAGTGTTTGGTTTAATTTATTTTACATGTTCAATACGTAGCTTGTGCGTAGCCACGATTTAGCTCATAGTCAGAGCGGCTATCTGTAGCCCACTTATAGTCAAACCTGATTCACTGTAGTTTTTGGCCAGGCAGCGCATGAGATGGTTGATATCCTATCATGTTCGCAGTGTCAATAATATCTACAAAGATATAAGTGTCATTTCATGACATGGTCTATATGTAGCCACAATTTAGCTCTAAATTCGAAGGGCTATGAGTAGTCTGCTTTTAGCCCCCCTGGTGAAATCAAGGCAATCTGTGGTCTAATTTTAACGGCTTGGCTATAGCCCTATACCAGTAACCAGACCAGCGATGAGCATAGCCAAAATAGCCTTAAAATTGTTTACATGTAATTTTCGCCCACGCAGCTTCTTATCAAATGCAAGTAAACATTTGAAACATTAAATTTGCATTATTTTACATTTTATTTAATTATTTTACAGCATTATTAAATATAGCATTATTTATTATGCCAAAAATAGTGCTAATTTAAATGTTTCAAACGTTTACTTGCATGTGATAATATGATGTCATGCATCCCACAAGCTGTTAAATGTTACATTCATACACATTATATGATATTATTGATATTCGGCTGTCTTTAATTTTATAAATAAAAATGCAATTACAATTCCCAACCGCTAGATGGCAATTGTAGCCTACTGAGACAGACATATATCCAGCTGCAGACCCTCAGCACCAGCAGTTTCAGAACCGCAGCCACAGAACCGGAAGTGAGGGGCGGAGTTATTGACAATGAGAGAGCAGGGTGAGTAGTCTGCAATGTTTTTGCTATCATATGTTTAATAATTATCGTATATATTACTTTAAGCATTTATCTGCTAAGTACTTAATGTGTGCTTGGCTTTATTATCTTATATTGAAGCTTGAATTTGTTGATAATACTTTATAGTATATAACTTTTTTCTGTGGATGTTTCGATTAATTTTCGGATGCATGCTGTAAATGGGCCTTGCAGTGAAGTTTTGAAGACGTTTATTATTCATAAAAATAAATCGTTTGCTTTAATTCCCTCTGTTATATGCATTGTTTGTGTTAATATTACCTTGTAGTTTAGTTATTTTAATCCCAATCATTGAGATAATTGTGTGTGGCTTCATCTCTTGTAGAGACATATAAGGATTCAGAGAGTTGACACATTACCTGAGCTGCAGCAGTGCAACAAGTGTTACAGCAATTACCAGCAATTTTCTGCTTATACGTCATACTTTATGTATGCATTTTATAATGACATATTAAGCATTTTAGAAACATTAACCTTGTGTAATTTAGTTGTAGACCTATACAGCTATTTGTTTCATTGTATTATGCAAGTAATTTCCTGTTTGTGATATTAAAAATAATGATTATCTGGGCATTTTATATGAAATATACTTTAATCACAAGATTCAAAATAAATGTTTACTCCAAAGTCAAGAACACGTGCATCATAAATTTTTCTATATGAAAACTAAAACATTTCAATAAAACACAGACACACACAAACAGCAGCATAATTTTAAAAGTAACAATCAAAATGTACACAATAATTAAATTGAAGTTTATAAACTGAACAATTCACTCTTAGGCCCATTTTGTCATGACAATCCTACAAAAATAACTCCCCTGAACACAAGATGAAATATGAATGGCACTCTGGAAGCTTCTGTTCCAAGATATTGTTGAGGGCCTTTTCCTTGTCCTCTTCCTCCATTATAAGGAAAAGAGGTTCTTCCACTGGCCCTCTGAGCAGATGTCTGTTTAATGAAGCCATTTCACAACTTCTGTGAGATTAATGGGATCTCCTTCATTACAGAATATTAAAGGAAAATGTAAATGTAATATTTCTTATTAATGTGTGTATATAGATATATAGATAGAGATATAGATATAGATAAACAGACGATAGATAGATAGATAGATAGATAGATAAACAGACGATAGATAGATAGATAAATAGATAGATAGATCAATAGATAGATAGATAGATAAACAGATGATAGATAAATAGATCGATAGATAGATAAACAGACGATAGATAGATAGATAGATAGATAGACAGACAAACAGACAAAAAAACCTTCCTTGTTCTTAAAATAACTAAACTACAAGGTAATATTAACACACAAACAATGCATATAACAGAAGGAATTAAAGGAACTATTTATTTTTATGAATAATAAACGTCTTCAAAACTTCACCACAAGGCCCATTTACAGCATGCATCCGAAAATTAATCGAAACATCCACAGAAAATAGTAATATACTATAAAGTATGACAACAAATTCAAGTTTCAATATAAGATAATAAAGCCAAGCACACATTAAGTACTCAGCAGATAAATGCTTAACATAATATATACGATAATTATTAAACATATAATAGCAAAAACATTACAGACCACTCACCGTGCTCTCTCTTTGTTAATAACTCTGCCCCTCACTTCCGGTTCTGTGGCTGCGGTTCTGAAACTGCTGGCGCTGCGAGTCTGCAGCTGGATATATCTCGGCTGCAGCGAGACGCTCCTCATGTAAAGAGCTAGAAAGAAGGAAGAGAAAGAAGAAGGAGGAGCAAAAGGCTGAAAGTGGATTTTAACTTAAATGTAGGTAACTTTAAACACATTAAGCATTGCTTATGTTTGTTACTCAAATTATTTTAAACTAAATTGGATCGGTTGGTTCACTATATGTTCAGTTTATATTAGTTTTCATCGTCGCGCTGTAAAGCTCAGAGTTTCTCTTTTTCAACGTGTGAAGGTCGAGCTCGACACAAAACACTCAAGAGCTTCAATCAGGACTTCAACAAGGCTGGCCAGTGTAATGGTGTAAAGGTGTTTGTGTTTGTTTGGGCCAGGGGCTTAGCCATCATTTCAGAAGTGAGGGGGACAGAAATGTTATTATATATATATATATATATATAAATTACAATCTAACATTTCTGTAATCTATATAACCTACTGGTCAAGTTTTTGAACAGCAGTAAGATTTTTTATGTTTTATAAAGAAGTCTCTTCATTCACACCGGCTCTTGAAAACCTCTATGCGAACTCACTTCCCCGAAAAAGTGCGGGGGATGAATTTACGTGATATTAAAAGTGGGGGGACACGTGTAATCTACGCCCCTGGTTTGGGCCCACAAATGTAGACTACAATTTGCAATAAGTTGTATCGACGAACGGAGTGACACACGGCAAACAAAACTGAAAGTAGACTGGGGCGAACATTTAAAGAAATTGTAGTAGTATTTATTTATTTAATTTTTTTTAATGTGGTATTTCAAAATATTTAAATCAAATTTAATCTAAATTAACCAAGGTGTAGCAAGAAATTGACTTAGTCTATGTTTGTTGATTAGTTGCATGCAATTATTACATTTATATAGTTTTTTTTGAAAACTTTATGGTGAGACAGTACAGACAGTGCAGTAGGCCCTACAACAGTACATCATTAGAAAGTCGAGACTTTGGTTTTATTTGAAACTTTGCTTGTTTTTGGTGTTTGTCAATAGCTTGATTTTGCCCCAGATATTATTGACGTGTTTCCACAGAGATGTTTGATTGGCCTGCTGAGGCGGTGTATCAGCGTATCAGCTTATCTATGCTACTCAGCCAATATGTTGCCCGATTTTAGATCTGTTTTTGAAACAAATGTCGAATTGTGTCGAATTTATACAAAACATTTAAATGTGAAATATTAAATATAAAGTTAATTAAATGAAAATGCTTGCTAGTTTTTGATTGGCCAGTGTTTAATATTAAATTATTGGGGGATATGTACCTATTTATCTTTATTTAACAGACACTTCGTAAATCTGAATAAGTTGGCAAAACTTAAAAATAGCATAGAAATGGCTGGTTAAGGCAGTATCTGATGCGGCAATTAACCCTTTTAGTTTAATTTTCTCTTTTCATCTGGCTTTATTTTGTTAGGTCCAATTTTTCTGCTGTAGGTGGATGTTTAAAAACATGCTGGATATCCATTTAAGCTACAGAATAGGCAAACAGTTTACCATAGGCTACTGTTCAGTGGCACCTTGCAGCTGTAAGTCTACACACTTTGATTGACCTGACAAACTTTTTCCCTGAGAATACTTCAGTGGTTATGTGTGAGTGTGTCCAATATTTGTGTTGGCTGTTCAAAACTCTGAATAGGCCCTGATAATTAGATATATTCAGTGGTTTATATGCAAATAAAAAAATATGCAAAAGAGTGTTTTACAAAAAAACAAAAAAAATCATGTAGGCCTATTAATAAATGTTACTATCTTGTGTTTAGCAGATAACTGATGAGTTGTCATTGTCTTCTGTGAGGTGGAGACATGGATGAATTCCGGGTGAGTTAAATTTAATATTCATGAGCTTTATTTTGCAGAGTAAAAGGGTTTGTCTGGTTTAATTAGCATTGAATTGAATTTTAAAAATGAATTATTTACTTATTTACCATGTTTATTAGGGGTTCAAGCTCTGAAGGTGCCAGAATGTTGCCTTTGTAATGATCTCAAACTGCATCTGAGGCTGTATCTCTGCAAAGCTTTGAGATATTGACACCAAACTTTTTATGTGCCATTGTCTCCTCACACTGACCATGCCACATCAATTTGCTAACAGCGACACCTATTGGTCAAAAGCAATAAACCATTTATTAACCACTAATAATGACATTTCCAAAAATAAAACTTTTGATTAAATTAGCCTATTGTAATGATCTCAATGTATTCTTTGGGGCATTTGTATTCTCTCAATGTATTCTTTGGGTCATGCCAAAAACATAGATACAACTTTTGCCATAGTCAGCCAAATTTCCTGTCTGCCATTTTGATTAATGTTGAAAACCTACTTTTTCTAACTCCTCCTAGATCGTTTGTCTGATTTTCACCAAAATCAAGTCAGATCATCTTCAGACTGTGCTGACAAAAAGTTATGGATTTCGTGTTAATAGACAAAACCATTTTTGTATAGCACTGTAACAAATTTGAGGCTTGATGCCAGACTACGTCTGAGGCTGTATCTCTGCAAAGCTTTGACATATTGACACCAAACTTTGTGTGTGCCATTGTCAACTCACACAGAACACACCACATCGATTTGACAACAGCGCCACGTATTGGTAAAAAGTGATAAGCCATTAAATCATATTACTAGTGGTTGTACTTATGATTTTTCAGCCATTTTGACTAAAATCATCTTAAAATGGCTTCAATTACTCATCGCTGCAGTTGGTCTGATGTAGGGCTGCACGATAAATTGCATGCGATTGTCATGTGCATCTCGTCAGTAAAGCCGGTTCTGTGATTAGTAGTAAATCTCCATTATGTGCTTTCAGATGGAGCAGCATTTAATACACAGAGCCGTATTTCGCTGACAAGCTACGCATTATCACGTTCATAATCGCCGATGAATCACATTCTATTATGAACACGATATTGCATAGCTTGTCCGCGAAATACGGATCTGTGTATTAATTGCCGCTCCATCTGAAAGCACGTGATGGAGATTGTCCCAGCCCTAGCACAGACAAACGTCTGTTGGAGTTTGTTGGATCAGTGCGTTACCCCTGTGAGCATTTGTTGCTGCCGGTCGGAGTTCGTTTTCACCCGACCAAACAACTCAATCGACGTTTGTTGGGTCGTGGAATGTCTGAGCAGTGTGATATGATTTTCCAACAAACGCCGACATAATCTGACCTGGCCATGAACTGTTGCCATGACGATGCACATACTTCACTTAAAGGGGTCATATGATGCTGCTAAAAAGAACATTATTTTGTGTATTTGGTGTAATGATATCGTCCTCTTTTGGAAGACCAAACAAAGTAGTTTCGCTTTCACAACGAAGCACACAGTGGCCTAGCATGAGCGAAAGCCCCAACTTGGCGTGAGCTGAGGCCCGGCTAGAGTGACCTGAGGCGGCGGAGTCGAGAACGGCGCGCCCGGAGGATCCGAACGAAGGAGCGGTGAAAACGGTGAAAGGCGATCCGGTGATCCACAGCACTAAGTTGTTGTATTTCCTCAGCATGGCGGCGGCGGCAACAACAATACTACAGCGAGAATAAAAGTTACGCCTTCATTCTTTGCGTGAACATTTGGGCGCGTTATGCAAATCTTCCCAGATCGTGACGTTGACATGTGGGCTTTATGCACCAAGAGCTTGTAACACTCCAAAGAGAAAGGAAAAAATGAAATCGCATCATATGACCCCTTTAAAGCGAGCTTCACTCACGACCTCTTTAATTTTATTCGCCGTCTTTTCAGGCGAAAAATTTGGAGTGCAAAGACATTAAAAACAGTACAATTTTAATTGTGGTTAAAGGATCATCCATTTTTTCCCCCAGTCAGACTTACACTGTGTCTACACCAGTCGCGAGCGGCGTGGCATGAGATGATAAGATAACCTATTATAATCAGTGATGCTGTCTACACTGGATGCACCGTGACAACTGTAGTGTCCAGTGTAGACACGGTGTTACTTAATTCTTTGACTCGAAGTTTCTCGGAGTCTGTTGGTTGGTGCTTATGGAACAGCAGCAATACAGCGTTTCCTTGGTTACCGCTGTAAACAAAGCAGCGCAGCACTTATGAACGCTGCTTTAATATGCATTATACAGAGACAAGATGAAAAGAAAATATCATCAAAAATTTTCTAAAGACAGTCAGTTCCCCTGTATCGCGATTCGTTTAACATCTCAACCGATTTGAATCGTCACATATTTGTATTGATGTTTAACCGGCCCGCGGTGCATCGCTAGAGGTTTCTAGATTTAAATCTAGATTTAAATTCAAAGAGACAGCATCGATAGTCTTTGCGTAACCTGACGTTTTATTCGTATCCAAAATGAGGAGATGTGAATATCAGGAGCGTTGAACACTCTCATGCAGTGTATGTTTCATTCATACTCAAAGCCAGAGGGCACTCTCACACAGAAAGTCCAAAACAGACTCAATAACTTATGACGTGCAGAAAATCCCTAATATGGACAAAAACATTGGGCTATCGCTGTAGCTGAGCTGAATAAAAAGCAAAAATGTTTTTACTGATGAAATGTGAAGACAATAAACACGATTGCTTGTATGGAAATGTATGGTTTATGTGTGTTTTTCAAGTCATCTCCAGGTAATAAATAAACTATATGAATAATTCAGTAGGCTACTGATTGACATATCATTTAGTATAGAATCTATCAAATATATGGCCTGCCTTATTCTGTGATAAAAATGGGAAAAAGGTGTCCGTAGTAGCCTTTATAAACCAATCATAAAATTGTCATTAGGAAAATATTGAACAAAAATATTATAGCCCCTTGCTGCAGCTAACGTTACACACAGCAATATAAACAACATATGTGCATGCTCTCTTAACGTCATTCTTGTAAAATAATAATAATTTAATAATATAAGTAAACAAGCACACCGCTCCACTGAGAACACCACTTACAGGCAGCCGCAGATGTTATTGAAGGCATCCTGGCTGCAGCGCGCTAAATTACTAAAGGTGTCTGAACATGAGGGATCGTCTCGGATGAGATTGTCAGGTGAAAGGTCATTATGATCATTTCATTTATGGGTAAATTATTGTTCATTAATTTTACTAATAGTTAGATTGGGCAGGCCTTCACAAAAGGGCGTTTAATTACAATAAAAAAAATTGCCTTGACAAAAGATGCTTACACGTTTGCATCTTTATCTTTTGCTGGTTTGCGTCGCACACGCACATTTGTTTAGTGAAGTTCAAAAAAAGACTCACTTAAAGAGTGCTGCGTAATGAAAACGTGTGCCTTGAATAAATTGTTGTGTTCAAATGATCACTAAATGATTGTCATGAAATCCCTCTGCTTGTACGATAAAACTATTTTGACAAATTATTCATTTTATATTTTAGAAGACTGAACATGGCAGATAGTTAAAAAATATTTTTCTATACGCTGTTCTCTTTTTTCCCATACTTTTCCAGACCTGCAAATTACTTAAGTGAAATTCCATACTTTTCCAAACTGTGCAGGAATCGGTGAGCCAAGGGAAAGCATGTCATTGTACATAAACCTTTAAAATTACTACGCAATAACGAGTGTGTGAAGTAAATGAGTGTAAACTGGAATGAATTAAGCACAAATAAAATAGCAGTGTTGCAGTAGCCTTTTCCCATGCATTTCCTGGAAATTACTTAAATCAATTTCCTTATTTCCAAACTGGGTAGGAACCCTTACAGTTTTAATTAATTGATATTTAAACATTTATTTATCGGATCACGAAAGGTCCCCAAGCTGGGATTCGAACTTATGTCGCATGAAGCACTCGAAGCACTGCCTTTACACGGGTATCGGCTCCGACTGTTAGAAGATATTTAAATAAATGTTATAATCATAAAAAAAAAAAAACATTATTTTATTTAAGCGCTGCATATTTGTTCAGTGATAACTACAAAAAAGGGTGTAAAACTATAGACATAATGGTCTTCTCAAGTAACTGTATGAACTTCCGGTTTAAGCCCTGCCTACTTCCGGTTTTATCCGAATACAGATACGAATAATTTTGTGATTGTTACAGATACAGATACAAATAATGGCTCCGCTGCACACCCCTAATGTCAAGTGAAACTTGAACATTTGGGGGAAAAAAGCAGATTTTTGGACAATGAATTTCATTAAGTGTCAGTTCAACAGTCAATCAATGAATTTATGCAACTGGTGTCATAAATACTTCCAAGGCACTGAAACATCATGTCTAAATTATGCCATGTTTATTTGCCCCAACTGCTGGTTCACATGCAGGAGGGCTGCAACTAACTATTATTTTGATAATTAATTTATTTAAAATAATGAAATGAATGTATTCAAAAAATAAAAAAATAAGAAAATTAATGTAGGGTATGCTATACTTGTACAAAAAGGTTAAAACGTTACATTATATTATGAAACTAAACAACTTGGTAACACTTTATTTCGATAGTCCACTTTAGACATTTTATTAACAGTAAGTAACTTTGCAACTACATGTCAACTAGCAGTCATTAGAGTATTAGTAGACTGTCTGCTTAATATCTTCTAACACTTTCTTTGTCAACTTATTCTACTAACCCTAAACCTACCCTAACAGTCTACTCTGAGAGTTAGTAGACATGTAGTTGCAAATTAATGAGAATTAGTTGACATGTAGTTGACATGTAGTTACAAAGTTACTAAAGTTAAAGTGGACTATCGAAATAAAGTGTAACCAACAACTTCAACATTTTAGTCAGAATTATTGGGCTGCCATTCTTTGTTGCACTCAATCTGTTTGACACGTGATGTCTCCTTTATACAAAATGGAAATACTTTTATATGATAGAATATAATCATCAGATATAACTGGAAAACAAACATGATTTCTTTAAACAGCATACACACCTGACTAGGCAACTTTAGTCAGCTTGGATATTGCCCTTTATCCCGCAGGAGCAGAATCTTTTTCCTGAGTACAGTGCACAGACTTAACATTTGAAATATGAAAGATAATTTATTAAGAGATGGTATGACTTTTTCTTAAAGATGCGTCACTATAGCAGACTTTCTGACTCCAGAAGTGACAGCGATGAAACCAATCTCTCTAACTCCAGTGATGACAGCGATTCTAGCAATGGAATACCTCCTTTATTCAGTCGTGAGTACATTTCATAATGAAGCTGAGTAACATCAGTGTGTTGTGTAAGCAGCAAAATCACCATCAGAAACCACAATCTGATGTCACATATAATGTAGTTATAACTGAAATTCACAACTAAGGTTATGTATAATAGCCTATGTGAAGTTATACATGTTGAAAAAAAAGGTATAATTTAAGACACCAAATTGTCCAAATTGTGTTTCTGATAGAGAGATTCTTATGATGATATTCTAGAATAGTAATTTTGAGACCATTTAAAATATTTATGGGGATGGGTAAAAATATAGATTTTCTCTCTCTTTTCACTTTTTTTATCCATAACATTCTATCGATATAATTTTTCAAGTCAAAATGTCTCAAATTTAATTAGCTGTCATTTAAGTGACAATGTTGAAAATGTGGGATATTACTTCAATTTCAATTAGTAATGTATCTGTATAGAATATATAGAGACGAAAGTAATTTCAGACAAAATTACTATAGCATGATACATGTGTATTCATTACTGTGTTTCAAAATTGCTCATATTGTGGTATAAGTTTTTGGTCAAATTGCATTTCTAAGTTGTCTAACCAGGGAACTGTTATAAAAAGTCACTTCAAAATGCTTTAAACCTCCATACTGGGCAAACCAGTGACAACTGTGCAAATATGTTCGGATAACTTCTTCCTCTGGCATTCCCAAGTCATGACAATTCTGTCTCTTCTAACATGTGTAAATCTTGATTGTAGAATTGTTAGAAGATCATGGATACACCATAAAGGAAGAACTTGGACAAAGGGGTTCGGGAATAGTGTTTCTGGTGAATGACAAAGATGGAAATCCTTATGTAATCAAAAAGATTAATTCCAGAAATGTAAGTACCATCAAGCATATACTAAATCAAGTATTTAGTACCTTATTATTGTCATATTTTGTTGCTGTTAAAATGCTATTAAAGATGCAGTTTTGTAATTGCTGTGAGTGTCAATTTTATGTGCCTCATGAAAAAAAAAATTACAAATGAAAATTTTGCCCCACAGAAGAGGGAAGTCGAGATCTTGAAAAGTCTGGAGCATGGATATATTGTTACTTATGCGGATTTATTTGAAGGTGTGTTTAAATTGTAGGAAAAGATTAATGGTAATGTTCCTTTATCATTTTATTTTAATTAAAGAGAAAAATTTACAAATGAAGACATACTGTGTAGAGAAAGATAATAACATGAACAAAACAAAAACATCTGTAGTTTTTTGGCTGTGAAATAAAGCCATTACACTAATAAATAAATATAAGTTATATTACTGACTGGATATTTCCTTATTTAGATAAAGACGCTGAATTCTTTTATATTGTGACGGAGTATTGTGCAGGAGGAAATCTTTACCAGAGGATGAAAGCACAGAACGAGAGAGGGTTTTTTGAAGAACAGCAGGTGAGTGTTTTATATGGACATAACATACTCTGGTCAAATGTGCATTCATTCATTTTAATGAAGAGAAATATTTATGTACAAGTTTGAAATATTAATGTATTGTTATACATTGTTCCTTTGATAAATAGCTAATAGTAGCTCTGTCTAAAGTGAGGAAATATGCTGTTAGAAAAATCCAATATGCTTTGTGTTTGATTGTGTTGATTACAATCCCAATGTTTTTTTGTTTTTTTAATTGATAAGAAAAAATAATCTTTGAGCTTTAATATTTAACAAAATATACAAACTAGAAAAGTATCAAGAAACAACAAATAAGAAATTAAATTTGAGAAAGACAGAAACTCTGGTCCAGCTGTTTTTAGACTAACGAGAAGGTTTTGAGTTCTGAAAATTACAGGATGTTTTTTATAGTACAGTGACTCCATATGTCAAACATTCAAGGGGATTTTGATTTCTCAGTTCATGATCCCTTTGAATATATTCTTACATGCTGATGCTCTCACATCAAAGTAACATGTAGCCCATAGGCTACATTAATGTTCCACAATAGTACTACAATGGAAAGTACTGAGGTAGTCCAGACCACCCTTCAGAATATTGGTACACTTTTTTATGGGCAGCCTGTACCCTAGTACTGATGAAAGGCTCGAAACAACCTTGTTAAGGCAGGCGTACACGGTGCGATTTTTGCTGTCATACGAGCTCGCAGGCGATTTTTTTCTCTCGAGAGAAAATCGCAGATGCTCGCATGGTCGCAGCTCGTACCATGTGAGAAAGAATTACAGGCCGATCCGAGACGTTACGAGCACCTCCCGTCCTCCCGATAATTTTCAAACATGTCAAAAAAAATCGGATGCTGTCGGTTTAAATTCGTGGCATGACCAATCAGACCAATCAGAAGATGACAAAAACCATATAGTCTATAATAATTTTAGTTTAATTATACAGTTATTTGTTATTCCGAATGTGCCAAATTTGGTGTGTGACTGCCTCCATACGATTTTCGGATAAACTCAATCGTGACATGTGCCAGAGCTCACGGCGTGCCGACCTTCAGAATCGCACCATGTACGCCCGCCTTAAGAGTAAAGATGCAGCCTTTTAGGATGAAAAAAATAATAATACAAATACATAGGTCTGCAATGTTTAACTAAATACTGTACTAATGAACTGCCTGCTTTCTCCATGTTTATCATCTGTGTAGATTCTTGACTGGTTTGTTCAGATTTGTCTGGCTCTGCAGTATATTCATGAGAGCAATATTCTTCACAGAGATATAAAACCACAGGTAAACACTGACAAAAGCTCAATAAATAATTTGTCACCAAACCAAATAATATAAAATAATAATTAGTTTTCACCAAATAATAATTTCTGTTGTCACTGTAGAATGTTTTTCTGACTGAGGATGGTTACATCAATCTTGGAGATTTTGGATGCTCAAAAGCATTGGAAAGGTAACTAAATAAATATTTAATTACTTACATAGACTCATACATAGATACATACATAGTTAAAATATATACTGTACAAACATACATAGATCTTTATTTCAATCACACTTAACTTTTTCTGCAATAACTAAACAAAGTCTAAATATAGTTTTGATGATTGATAACTACCATAAAATAATCTCCAACAAATTAGATAGTGTACTGTATGTTTAAAATAGTACGCATGCAATCTGGGCAATGGGCATACTACTATAGATTTCAACTACAGTAAAGGGAAGTATTTATATTGGAACACTTGTTGGTAATTCTTGAATTTGGCGAAAGTTTAGGATTTAAGGGGCTCAGTTGCCATACTGGACAGTTTAAGATGCATCCTTAAGGCATGGATCCCCCAGCCTGACAATAACCAATTATTTCTTAGCTATACACATATGCAGAGAATACGACAATTACAAAGTGTGACCGAACGGAATTCAAGCGTAGTTCAGGAAGACCACTTGCCCACTGCCCAGATTGCATGCATACTATTTTAAACATACAGTATAGCATATACGCTTACCACATCAGGTATCACTCAGCTGATCAATTTCTCCACCTACTCTAAACAACAACCCTATTTAAGACCATTCAATGCATGTTCTTCAGTCTTTTGCACAGACATTTGCACCCACCTCCACCCCTTTCACCTCCTGGCATCTCCATAATACAGCATTGGATTATTAGATATGTATCAGTACTGAACCAACATTCGTAAACATTCAGTCCAATAAATAGGATTTTACCCATGCTTTCTCTATTGTTAGCATGTTGGACAGACACAATGATTAGCATAGATAACACATCTCAGTCCATACCAAAGTCAGTCATTCTACTTCATTCAGGCAGATAAAATGGGGAAAAAAAACAAAAAACAAAACTCATAATGACTACATATGTTCTTATGAAAATTATATTGATTTTTATAACCACTACATTAGCACATCTGATCTCTTCTGGAAGCTGGTTCTATCGGTGGGTGGCATGAGTGATAAAAGCAGACTCTCCTTTTATACCTTTTTTACTAAACCAGGATAATTTCACATGAATGCTGCTTTTTACCACATCAGTGTTTCTGTTATTGAATTTTAAAGTAATGTTTCTGTTATTTATTTATTAATTTATTCCTCTTTTGGCCAATGTTTGGTACATCCCTAGTCTTTTTGACGTTTTATCAGTTTAGGTTTACATGAATTGTTCTTTTTCAGAGCTGATGCGTATGCAGAATCAGTAGTGGGTGCAGAGCTGTATGTCAGTCCAGAAGTTTTTAAAAAGAAATATAAGTCCAAAAGGTTTGCTTTTTGTATGTTGATTGTGAAATTCTGATAAACTTGTTAAAGCTGTTACAAAGTGTTAGACAAGTTAGAATTTCCTTGATGAAAGACTTTAGATGTAGGTTGATTGTTTTAGTTGTGTAAAACAATGCAATTTACTTTATCATTTAAGTACAGCTATTTAAATTATTTATTTATTTTTTCATTGTTATCCGTATCTTTATAGTGACATCTGGTCACTGGGATGGTTGCTCCATGATCTCTGCATGCTGGATGTGTGGGTGAGTATTTCTGTTTTTCCTTCTCAAAAAAGCACTGTATTAAATCAAGCCCAAGTAAATTACAAAAATATTACCGATGGTGTAACGGAGGCCAGCTGGTAAGAGCTGTGTGGGTAAATGTCTCACTCCCTTAATCTCAAGAGGTGCATTATCGACTGACACTAGAGGCTGTAGTCTTTAGTGTCCTTGTTAGAGTACCTGCCTCTCATGCTGGAAACGCAGGTTTGAATCCCGCTCGGAGAGGGTTGAGTAGAACCAGAGGGGTTACACTGGGTCCATTTACACTAGTTTTTACAATCTACAAACACAGTCTTCACTTACTTTTAAAATCATGGTAACTGTAAGTAAAAACTTTCCTTGAATTTCAAATATGTTAGAAATAATTTTTTCGCATGCAATTAATTTTTCCAGTTTAACAGCTTTAAAAATATTTAACACAATTAACGCAGGGGCGTTCATTGCGTTAAATCACATCGTTATCTACATGGCGCAGTTGATTGGTTTCTGTAGCGTCAGCAGCCAATGAGCTTGCTGCTCAACATTCAAATACTTGACCAGAGTGGGCTGTAGCAGATGCAGCACGCTTTTAGAAAGCATCTGAAATCAACATCTAAGATAAACAAATGCTCTTTTACTCCATATCAAGGGCCTTCAACCGGGGGTTCTCAGCGGTACTGCAGGGGGTCTGGCAATTAATGTTTGATCACAAATAATTTTTGTAAAAAAGTCAAAACCTGGGTAAAAAACATCATAGTCAACTATAAATTTAAGCACCCTGAAACAAAAGCAAAAACACCCTCAGATGATAATGTAATATAGTATTATTCACTCCATTGTATTTTTGAGACTGCTCCGCAGAATGTGAAATGTTCCTTTTTACAGCGTGTTTTTGCAGTGGTGATATTAAGATATTTTGGATGAAATCCGAGAGCTCTCTGACCCTGCATAGACAGCAACGCAACTACCACATTCAAGGCCCAGAAACGTAGTAAGGACATCATTAAAATAGCCCATGTGACAACAATTGTTCAACCATTATTTTATGAAGCTACGAGAATATTTTTTGTGCGCAAAGAAAACAAAAATAATGACTTTGTTCAACAATTATTCTTTTCCACGTTAGCTGTTTTCCCATTAACATTTCAAATTGTATAAATTAACATAATGCATGCTACTGTATTATTAAAAACATGATTTAACAAAATGAACAATTGGTTAGTAAATTTATAAACTTGCATTAACCTAGATTTATAAAAGTTGAAAAAAAGTAGTTAATTGTTAGTTTGAGATACCTAATGCCTTAACTCAGTGGTTTTGAACTCTGGCCTTCGAGGTCCACTCACCTGCCAGTATCTTTCTAGTGATCCTGAAGACCTTGATTAGCTTGTTCAGGTGTGTTTGATTAGGCTTGTAGCTAAACTCTGCAGGAAAGTGGACCTTGAGGGCCAGAGTTAAGAACCCCTGCCTTAAATCCTTAACACATTAAACCTTATTTAAAGTGTTAAATAAAGCTTGCTCAGTAGGATTGAATGGTTATCCAGATTATTATTTATTTTTTTATCCCACAGTCAGATGACATAGAGGGCCGTTTTCAACATAGCAACAGTATGAGAGGAAACACCCCCCAAATCTCGGAGAGATACTCAGAAGAACTACGAAAATTAATCCAAGAAATGCTCAGCCTTGACCCTAGACATAAACCTTCGGCTGATGAGATTCTAGCAAAATCATTCCTGAACAATGCAGCAATTAAAAACAAGGGGATTCCAGTGGGCCTTAAAGAAAGCCTCAATGTATATTTCAGGATCTTTGATGAGGCCTACAATAAGCATTATAAAAACTTTGAGGCCTTAGTTACAGAGTGGGGAAAAACAACAGCTTCACTAGAGGAGGTGCATTATAAATGCACAGCAGGAACTCTGTCAGGTTCAGTGATTGGAGCAGCAGGAGGAATCACTGCATTAGTTGGTGCGATTTTAGCACCTTTCACATTTGGAGCATCTCTAATTGTATCAGGTGTTGGTGTTGGTGTTGGAGTTGCAGGTGGTGTAACAGGTGCTGTCTTTAGCTCAAGAAATACAAACAAACAAAAAACACTCTATGAGAGCCTTGTAAAATATGAGGATGACTACAAACATATAACTAAACCAATTCTTAAATCACTGAATACACTGATAAGGGTACTAAAAAGAATCAAGAAGTTCTCTAATTTGGACTCTACTTTTGACAACATAGAAATATCCTGCAGTGTAGGCAAACGACAAGTAGTTCGTCCCGCAGAGCTTGTGAATCTAGGTCTGCTGGCAAATGTTGGCAGAATTATTACTCAGATTGCTAAAGTTGGAAGAACAGCAACAGTAGCAGCATCAGCAGTCACAGGTGTGATAAGTGGACTCTTAGTCATACTTGATGTCTCCTTAATTGTGAAAGATTCCATAGACATTCACCAGATGAGAAAGGGGAAAATAGATGATCCAGAAAACATAACATTCAGTGTATTTAAGTCCATTGCTCAGGTAAAGGAAACACATACACATCTTTGCAATGGCTTGAAGGAAATTGAAAAAGCAAGAACTGACCTAATTGAATATATTGGTCCGGCCAGGGAAGACTGTAGGAGTGGGAAAATATAGCTTTGCAGAAAACAATTTAAATGTCTAAAGATGTTGTAAGCCAATGAAGTGAAGCCAGGTGTAACATATGTGGCCAAGTTTTTCTGTAATTTTATACTGCATATGTGTATCTACTAATAATAACTATAATTAGGGCTGCACGATATATTGCATGTGATTGTCATGCGCATCTCGTCAGTAAAGCCGGTTCTGTGATTAGTAGTAAATCTCCATCACCTGCTTTCAAATGGAGCGGCATTTAATACACAGAGCCATAGTTTACTATCAAGCTACGCAATATCACATTCATTATCGCCGGCGATTCATCTGAACTACGGCTCTGTGTATTAAATGCTGATCCATTTGAAAGCAGGTGATGGAGATTTACTACTAATCACAGAACCGGCTTTACTGACGAGATGCGCATGACAATCACATGCAATATATCGTGCAGCCCTAACTATACTAATTTACAACTTAAAGATAAACCTCATGCCATGGTATTTGGTACAAAATGTATGTTTAAATTTAAATCTAATAATTTTAATAATAATGTGTAATGACAGGACGAACTTGCACAGAGTGGATCAAATTAAATAGCTGGGCTTATGGCTGGATCCTGAACTTTCTTTTAAACCTCACATTGACTATATACTTTGTAAGATTAATTTTGGAACTAGTTTACTTTATCGATCTGAAAATTGTTTGATGATTGATTGTTTGATCTTTTAAAATTAAGTAAATACATAAATGTTCTAAAATAAAATAAATTATAGTCACTAATCCTAAACCAAAAACAGTAGCACATCACATTATTTTAACCTTGTCACTAAATGTATATACTTGTAATTTGAATAGATATCCTCATAATTTCTGGATTCATTACCTAGATTCAGTGTGCTCTGTAATAAATCACACATTAGAACTGAAAGAAAGTAACTTGTGACATTGGTCTTGTGACGTATCTCTTTTCACCAGCACTGTTACATTCAAAATGGTTTGTGTATTTACAGTGCATATTTGTTTGATTTGTACCACGCACATGAATTTAAAAAAAAAAAAAAAAAACTTGCTTTGCAACTTATATTACCTTTTTATTTTTATTTTTTGACTATGCTTACATAGTTTATCAGAATACAACTAAAACTAATATTTTGCCTCTTACTACAACCTATAATAATTTGTGTGGATTTGTTATTGGATGTTTATGATGCACACCATTCTATTATGTATGATTTACTTAAATGGTTTCCACTCAATATTAAAAGATATATTCACTGGTTGCAATTTATTTTCAAATGTATGTATTTTAATTATCCTAATTATTTGTGTCAGTATTTGATATTATATTATTCATATCAATTAAAACATTCTGGATATTATTATTTTTTACTTACTCCTTTAGTTAAGAAAGTGTTTGGGAAAAAGGCATTTAAGTATAAGGCTCCTGTAGATTGGAATGATCTACCTTTAAATGCACAAACTTTGACCTAATTTTATATGTTTAAAATGTTTTTGTTTTCTTGTTTTGAAACTTATTGTAATTGCTTTAGATGATATGTCCATGTTTAAATGTAGAACATTTACAAAACATGTAAAACATGTAAATGAAGCTTAAATAAACATGCAGAAAAACACAAATGCAACTATATTGTTTTTGTGAATTAATGACAACATTTGTAATTTATTTCAAATGTGTTATCTATTTAAAAAATGCTGGATTTGTGACATCTGAAGTGAAGGAAACAAATGTGAAATATACTAATAGACATAAGACAAAAACTATCAACGACTACTATTAATGAATTGCATAAAAATTAAAGGAAGAAAAGATAATAAGACTGAGCAGAAATGACAGGTCAAAGTTCATCTCATGTTCTCTTAAGCACTGTGTCAGAGACAGCAGCACTGCATTCATCTGGCACAAAACAACATGACTTTATTTTCTTAATTTCTTAAAAGATACAGTGCCTTGCCTTCATTTTTTTCACATTTTGTTATGTTGCTGCCTTATGTTAAACTGCTTTAATCTACACTCCATACACCATACTGACAAAGCAAAAACAGAACTGTCACAACTTCGAAAATTTATTAAAAAATAAAAAACTGAAATAAGTACATTGCATAAGTATTAGTAGTCAATAACTGGGAGCTTATGACAAAAATGATTGATGACTTTGACCTTTGATCCATAAGATTTATTTTTCCCGGTCTGTCTTTATTTGTTCAGGATTCTACTTGCAAAGAAATTAATAGATTATTGGTTAATTCTTGTTGGAAAAATAAACACCACCATCTTAAAAAAAACTGTTTTAGCTGGGAAGAAATCTGAAAGAGATTTTGAATTGCTGGATTATGTGGATATATATAAAACTTTCAAGATTAATTGGATCAAAAATTGTTTGGTTCATCCTGATTCAATATGGTTTTTTATTCCACATAATATTTTTAAGAAGGTGGGTGGTCTTGATTTTCTTTCGACTTGTAATTTTTTTGCCCTCCAAATTAACCATAAAATTGTCTAAATTCAGAATCAGAATGAGCTTTATTGGCAGGTATGTTTACACATATGAGGAATTTGTTTTAGTGACAGAAGCTCCACAGTGCAACAGAATGACAGTGACAAAACAGGACACAAATAATAAAAATAATAATATAAAAATAGACAAAATAGACAATGTACAAAAAAGCAAAAACACAGTATATAATATAGACAATTATGTATGTACAGGTATGATATGTGCAAATTTGAAATGTAAATAAGTATGTGTGTTAAATAAATAATGGATACTAGTGTTGTGTGTTCCATGATTATTGTTAAGTGTTCATGAGATGGATTGCCTGAGGAAAGAAACTGTTCCTGTGTATGGTCGTTCTGGTGCTCAGTGCTCTGTAGCGTCGACCAGATGGCAACAGTTCAAAGAGGGAGTGTGCTGGATGTGAGGGGTCCAGAGTGATTTTGCTAGCCCTTTTGCTCACTCTGGATGAGTGCAGTTCTTGGAGAGTGGGGAGGGTTGTGCCAGTGATTCGCTCAGCTGTTCGGAATTTGAAGCATGAGTGGACTTCGCACAGCTCCAGTGATCTGTTGAAGATCTGTGTGAAGATGGGGGCCAGCTGGAGAGAACAGGTTTTCAGACAGGCTGGTGTCACACCGTCTGGGTAGACGTAAACAAGCTTGTAAATCCTGCTCTGCTTGATTAGTCCATCTTTTTACAGTCCTTAATACAGGTTTAGATTATTTCAGTTTCTGCCTGTAGGTCGGTATAAGATGAACCAAACAGTGGTCAGAGAACCCCAAAGCTGCCCGTGGGATGGAGCGATATGCATCCTTTATTGTGGTGTAACAGTGATTCAGTATATTACTGTCTCTGGTGGGACACGTAACATGCTGTCTGTATTTTGGCAGTTCGCGGGAAAGATTTGCTTCATTAAAGTCCCTAAGAATGATTATAACAGAGTCTGGGTGTTGTTGTTCTGTGTCTGTGATCTAATCAGCGAGTTTCTGTAAAGCTGAGCTCACGTGCGCTTGCGGAGGAATGTAAACACTCACAAGAATGAACGAGCAAAACTCCCGTGGCAAATAGAACGGCTTGCACGAAGAGCGCTTCAAGATCGGGCCAGCACATCTTCTTTAACGCTGTTACATCTGTACACCACCTTTTGTTGATGTAAAAACATGTCCCGCCGCCCCGCGCGATTTCCCCGTTGATTCTGCATCATGATCTGCTCTAAACAGCTGAAAGCCGGGCAGATGTAGCGCGCTGTCCGGCATGGAGTCATTCAGCCAGGTTTCCTTGAAACACAGAACAGCAGAGTTTGAAAAATCCGTGTTTGTTCTGAAGAGCAGAACTTTGTCAGTTTTGTTGGGTAGAGAGTGGAGATTCACCAGATGGATGCTAGACAACGGCGTTCTGAATCCGTGCTGCCTGAGCTTCACGAGCACGCCGGCTTTCTTCCCCCGTCTGTGCGTCCTGAAGCGGTTGATCAGTGCCGCTGCTCCGCCAATTTCAGCAAAACGTCAGAATAATCTAAATCCGGTAGAATATTTAGGCAACGGCGTTCTGAATCCGTGCTGCCTGAGCTTCACGAGCACGCCGGCTTTCTTCCCCCGTCTGTGCGTCCTGAAGCGGTTGATCAGTGCCGCTGCTCCGCCAATTTCAGCAAAACGTCAGAATAATCTAAATCCGGTAGAATATTTTGTGGTGTGTTCTGCCGAATGTTTCAGCAGTTCATCCCTGGTAAAACTGATCGTGTTTGAGAAACAAAAACCAGGACAAACAAACAAAAACAGTACAAACACTGGAGAGCCAAGCACTGAGGTGATCGTGTGCGGCGCCATCTTAGTTGCTATGTCCTAAAGCTTGCCTATTCTTCTACTACACACTCAAAAGTGTGTACTTTTTCTTGACCAAAAAAATACATACTTTAAGGGTGTAGTATAAG